GAAAAAAAAAGAAACATCAGCAGACCTTGATCTCACCAGGCAAGCTCTGAAACTGAACACAATCTGTGCTAATTAGTGTACACAGAGAGAAAAAGGCAGGTCCTGGATGCCTAACTCCAGCTCAGAGATCAGGGAGGGGAGAGGTTTCGTTATCACGGAAAGAGTTCGTCATCCCCACTGCTTTGCGTGCCGTGATGGGTTAGGTGCATTTGCTCCCTGCCTGTGGACTTTTCCGCTTTATGTTCTGTGCTCTGTCTCATGGCACTGATGTCTAACCCTCTTAGCCAGGAGCACCGGCGCTTGGTGAGGCTGTCAGAGAAGTAACACACCCTGCCCTGGGACTTGCACCATCCTCTCTGCGCTGTGTCTGTGTGTCCTTCCACAGTTCTGTCCCTTGGGCTTGGTGCAGAACTGTGGAGGATCCCCTAGAAAGGCCAGTTCTGGCTGTTCTTGGGATGGAGGTCACTGTGCTGGGTGATTTTGTGAACCAGCACCCTTGTCTCTGCACTAGTTGTGCAGCCCCTGGTACAGAAAAGATTAAGCTGCCTGCTTCACCCAAACTCAGCAGGATACCTGCCTGTGGGATTTATTGTTAACTGGGATCAAGGGGTGGCCAAGGGAAGGGATGTCCCTTGGTTCAGGGATCCCAGCTCTCCCCATGTGGGAGTGTTTGGATGCAGTCTGGCATTGCCCCTAACCTCCTGACTGGCCTGCTCTTGGGGAGTCCCACTCCACAGCCCCTCTGCACACCCCCACTGCATGGAAAGCTGCAGCTGTGGCTATGGGGACAACCAGGGGAGGCTAACTTGGTGTCATCTTCTGCCTCAGGGAGCTAACCTGGCTTGCCTGATGTGGAAAAACCACAGCAGGAGAGAGGACAGAAGTATCCCCTCTGGCAGCAGCAGGGTCTTGGGTTAGCTTAAATCAGGGAGTGTGTCTGGTCTTAATAGCACTTTCCTCCGACTGTGCCAGCCATCTCCTTTCCCCGACTGCACAGAGGGATGCAGAGACAGATGTGTCTGTCAGAGCAGAGCAGGCTCGGCTTGCTGGAAATGAATGGGAATTTGATTATGCTGCTCTGCAGAGCCAGGCTAACACGATTAAAAGGCCAGCAGGCAGGACTCAGAGGAAGGAGATCCCCTTTCTGCCCCTTTCTCCCTGCAGAAGGAGAAGGCTCTCCTTTCCTTCCTCCCCAACCCCTGCCCTGCCCAGGCTGTTCTGAGACTTCACAAATACCCAGAGTCCAGGCAGATATGAAGGCAGACAGAAGAGAAGACAGCAGAGAGTTGCAACCAGCTTCCCCTGGGCCCCTCAGTGCTCCTACCTCCCTCTCTCCAGTAGCTCCTGCCAGCTCTCCCCTCTGTCCTGCCTGCCCTGTGACCAAGCTCCCTTGCTATTTACATTACAAAGTAGCCCCCTCTGCTCTGCTCTCCGGGTTATATTTAGCTCCCTGGCACAGAACAGCCTGTGAGATGCGTTAGCTGTGTCCTATCTGCCAGCCTGAGGACTGCGCCGAGCAGCCAAGGTGCCCCACATCTCCCTAGTAGGGATGAGAGCTGGCAAGTTGATACCCCTCTTTGCTCTTCAGAGGCTAACGCTAGGCTGGGGGGCACAGAGGGACACAGGACCCCCTCTTCCTCCTGCCAGAGATGCCCAGCCCACGCCATGAGGAGCCCTGTGTGGCATGGGCTGGTCCAGGTTCTACCTCTGGAGGTGGCTGAGAGCAGAAGGGCACTTGTCTGACACCCTGCACATCTATGGGGCGGGAGACGTGCAGCATAGCCTGTGGGGAGCCAATGCAGGAGCTTTTGTGCGCTTGTGGTTTCCTTTCTGGGTAAACACCCCTCTGATCTTGGTTGCTGGGAGCAGTGGCAGTGACAAAGGATACTGCTGCAAGCATCACCCTGAAAGCAGCTGAGAAAGTGAGGAAATTGAGAGGGAGCTCAGAACTGCTTAGGAGAGGTTGGAGGGTGCTGCTGCGGCCCACCAGCACCTGTCCCGGGCCTCCCTGGACCCACGTCACAGGGTTTTCCCTACAGCAAAGTTCTTCCAGCCTCTAACTTGCCTTATTGCCACCAAAGCTGCCTCACTCTCAAGCTAGAGATGATCCTGCCCCACCACAAAACCTTGGTGGAGACACTCAAGGGAAGGAGGAGCTGGCTTTGGACTCCCATTGGCAGAAGTTACTCTCCAAGTGGTGAGGCACAAAGCCCTGGTGCTTGCTCCAGGTTTGCTGCAGTGACAGAGGGCATTGGGTCCTTCTGGCATTGCAGAGGCACCTCCCTACTGGGAAAATTGTCCCAGAATGTGCAAATCTGGTGCACAAGCCAGCATCATTAATGTTTGGCACGAAACTGCTACTCAAAGCCCTAAATATAACCTGAGTGCTGAGCTCTCTTCTACCCGCCTAAGGCGCCTCCATACACCGTGGCAGCTATTTATGGAAGGAACTTTATTTCCATGGGATTAATATCATTTCTGCTCATTTCAAAACCTTTATATAGCAGCTTATGCTGCCTGCCCCTTGTGATGACTAATAGGTCCCAGCAGGAGCAGGCAGGTTGGCAGCAAGAAGACTGAGGCCTTCAACCTTCTCTTAACATTGAGGACACCTGTAATGCCCGCGGCCCACAGAGGAGCTCCTCCAAAGTCTGTACCAGGGTTCAGTAAGTGTCTCCAGATCCAGAGAGCAGAGCAAAGGGATTTCTGTCAGCCCCCCAAAGCTTCTCATGCTGCAGGAGGGGCACCTGATGGAAAGTTGGCCAGACCCAAACCTCCATGGGTTTCACAGGACAGCTCAAGCAGATCTTCCACCCCAGACTCTTCCTTTCCCATTTCTCCTTCCCTTCGCTTGGCTGCCCAAAACGCAGGGTGGAGGAAGCAACTCATCCCAAGTACCGTTTCCTCCTTCGCTGATGGCCTGCAGATAGCTGCAGCATTCCCTCCAACCCCCCAGAATCCTCTCTTCTGCAAAGCCTGCATTGAATGGAGCAAAGTCTCTTGCAAAGAGATCCCTAGTGAGGATTGAGTAGAACAGAGGTGCTTTGTGTAAGGGCAGCACAGGCTCGAGCATGTCAACAGAGCCACCTGCTTTGGGTGGCTGGGGTGGCATGGGTAGGATGTAAACAATCCCCAGCAACCTTAGACAATTCTGGAGCATATTCAGGCTGATCAAATTAGGTTGCAATATGGTCCCTTTCCTCCCCTGGAGGGGAGGCTGGAAAATTGCAGCCGGCTAATCCATTCGCAAAACTGTGCACATCTGGAGGAAGACAGCTAAGAGAAGAAAAGCCTGCTCTGCCCTCTCTTCTTGGCACAGTGATTTCTCATCCTCGGTGGCATCAGGGCAGAGCCTCAGTGAGCAGCTCTAAGTACAGAATGAGGACCAGGAGAGCTGCATGTTGCCCCAGCTCATGGCAAGGATCGGGGAGGCAGGGCACCTCAAGGAGATCTCTGCCACCCCAGCTCCTGCTTGTCACCCACAGCAGGAATGTGGGTGATGAGATGTGCTGGAGTGCTGGAGATGAGTCAGCTCAGGGGCCCCTCCTGCTCTGCAGGCACTAATACAGTTTCCTATTAGTTCTCATTACTGCAGTATTAGAGAGCAATTTCCTCATAGCTTGCACCGCAGCCCTTGCAAAGGAGAAAAAGGGCTGCTGTACACATAGGAGTGCGGATGGGGGTGACCGACAGCTCCTGCCCAAAATCTGCCTCCCCAGAGGAACTCTGCACCCCAGGGTCCCCAAGTCCCAGACTAGAGGCAGGAGAGCCCATCCGGCCTCCATCCGCCATGGCAGTGAGCATGGCACCAAGATCCTCCATGTCAGTCTTCCACCTGCTTGTAAACTACGTGGCACTTGCTAAGCATGACATGGTGACATGGAGCTCAGAAGGACACAGAGACATCCCTCGGCCAAGCCAGCTCAGGAGAACTGTAAGGAGGCAGCTCCTGCCTTCTCTGCACTACTCAGTCCCAGACCCTCACAGTAACCCAGGGTCAGTCCTGCAAGTGCTCACATTTACTCTGGGCAGAGACAGGATAAAACGATTTCTCCTCAATTACACCTAAAAGCCATTCTGCCAAGATTGGGGGTAGTAAATAGTAGAAGGGCTCAAATGCCCTTCTAGTGAAAAAAAGGGGAGGGTGGGACCCTGGGCCTTTCTCACTGTGACAGAAAGAGTAGAGCTGAGGTCCTGGAGATGCTGACCAAGCAGGATTATGACATTATGGTTGGAATTGGGAATAGGAGCTCACCTGAGTGTCATCAGGCAGTGGCTCCCACAAGCTGTAAGCGCTCTGAGAGCTATCAAAACCACTCTTTGCCTTCACCAGATTTGCTTGGCTATAGCAGAGGTGGGTAAGCAGAGCAGTCCTGGCAGAAGAGTCACACCAAAAAGCAGGACAGATCTCCTCTTGCTGCAAGGTGCCCCCCAAAAACACATTTATAGCCTAAGCCCTAATCTCAGGCCCTTCATCTTTGTATCACTGCTCAATTTCCCCAGGTGGGATCAAAGTTTCTGGACCTGGAAAATCAAGTAAGGGGACATTTGCCTTGGGGAAGAGGAGGAAAAGGAGAACAGGTGCTATGAGAAGTCCCGTCTATTCAATGCACTGAACAACAAAAAGCTGGTGCTGCAGAGAAAGAGGAAAACTTCCAGCCCATGGCCCCATGACAGAGCTCATGGGAGGCTCTTGGGCACAGACTGCTCCTGGGAGGCATCACAGCCCCAGGATGGGAACAGGGAGTTGGATAGAAGGAAAATAAGGGGACCTGCAAAAGTGACAATGGGACTGCCACTGCAGAGGGAGTTGTTGCATGGATGGGGAGAGATGGGACTAACTGGTTCCCTTGTCTTTGTGCTGACATGGTTTCTGGTGAGAAGGTGCTGGTGGTTAGTGGGAAGAGCCAACCCTGACCCTGTAGGAGGGAGATGCCCCAGGGCAGGGCACTCCTCTGCCCCAGCCCAGCCCTGACACTTGGGGACCGAGGTGTTCTTACCTGTAAGAGGCTTGCTTTCTGATGGCCAGTTGCAGGAACTGCTCCTCCACCTCTGCCACGGCCACTGCCCCTCTCATCTCCTCCCAGGCTGGATCCATGCTGTGGAGGCCCAAGCGCTGTGCTTGCCCAGTGCTCTCTGCATCTACTGCTCCTTGGAGACTTGCTGTGGCCCCCCTGGCCACCTCACCATCGTTCCTGGCAGGGGAGAAGTCTCTCCAGTTCCCAGGACCTTCAGCCATGGTGAAGTGAGGTGTCTCTCTAGGCAAGGAGTCCTCCAAAACTTCTTGGGCAGCCTGGTCTTGCCCCACAGAGTCCCACGGTGCTGCTCTGCTTTGCCTCCCCAGGGCCGTGGGACAGTCCCAGCGAGGCTTAACTCCTTGAGGAAGCACAAGCACGAGAAAAAGCAGCGTCCAACTTTTTGCAGTGGTATTTATCAGCCTCTTGATAGTAGCTTGGGCAGCTCAGGCACAGCAGCTCAGCCTTACGCTGTCTCTGCTGCCCTGCCACTCCGAAGCGGAGGAATATCTGAGAGACACGGAATCGCTGGTGCTGCTCCTCGGAGGTGCCGGCACTGAGGGCAGCGGGGAGGGAGTGGGAAACACAGCGCTCGCCGGAGAAGGGGTCTTAGGAGAGAGTACGGTCCAGGGATAGCGATGCTTGCAGCAAGCGGAAGAGAGCTTGGGTTGCCTTCTTGCGAGGGTCCCTCTCCAGGCACGTCCCTTAGCGTCCCCAGCAGCAGCAGCCGAGCAGGAGCAGCAGGCAGAGGTAGGCAGCGAGTAAAGTGCCTGTGCACTGCAGCAGCTCGCAAAAGACAAAGCAGAAAGTGAGCGTGAGTGTGTGCTGTGTGCGTGGGGAGGGGGCTGCGGGGAGCTGCACGGAGCAGGCAGCCTGGTGTCACCTTAGAGACACTCGAAACTGGCACTTAACCCTTCGGAGTCTGGGGAGGCAGAGGAGGGTGACCACTCAGCCACCCCTCTCTGTTCACAGTCCAGCTGGCATCTGCCTGCCTGCAAAGGCTGCTCAGAGAGCTGGGTCTCAGCCACTTGTCTTAACCGGACCTGCCATCAGGTGAAGTCAGGCAGCCTGGAAAACTGCATGACAGCAGCCCCAGCAGAGCAAAGTACCTGTTGTTTTGTCCAATTATCCTACATGGATAAGACCTATCTGGGCACAGGGTCCCTGACTATGGGCAGTGGTACTCAACCAAGCAGGTATGGCCATAGCATGGCCTCCCTCTTCCCAGCTGGCTCAGCTCCTTGCCATTTAGGAAACCACATTACCCCTGATTTTTCCTAATTCAAGGCATTTTTTTCTCCAGTCTCGGCATCCAGAGGTAGAAAGGCCCTTCTGTTCTCTGCCCACATCCATCAGGAGAGTTGCATTGTCTGTTTGTCCTGGGCTGGGACTGAACTTTGTGACCACAGTCCCAGCTATGGCCTGCCTCAGCCTTGCCCACTCTGGTGCTGTGGATGTCAGCTGGGGTGAGAAATCCCCACAGAGCTCCCATACGTGCCTGATTTGTTCTGCCCCAGATTCACATGCTGAGGCTTTACCTGCTAGGCACTGGAAAATTTGAACTTCAGGTCTATAAGAGCTAGCCCCTGCATCATGACAGGGCCCGACAGTCATGTATTACACCAAGAACACATTGCCGTCACCCCTAATCCCAGTGTCATCCCATGAAGGTCTGGCATGACTGGAGCTGGAACCCGTCCTCAATGTGCTCTGACTGTTGTATTACCTTGGGAGTTGTCAGGAGCAGCTCATTCATCTTGCCAGCACTCCCCATCACCTCCATGTGGCCCTGTGACATCTCTGCTGCAGGGTGCTGTGGCACAGCATATTCCCATGCCATTCCTGACCCCAAACTCGGAAGCAGCAGAGGCTGGAGAAGGGCTGTGGCTTTCCCTGGGAACCACAGCCCAGTGGCACCTTCAATTCAAGTTACCTAACCTTTGTCTGGTCCTAAATGAAACTATGACATCTCCCCCTCTCTATTCCTGCTGGAGGATTTGCACCTCCCAAGGGGCACAGCAGCCCCCGTGCCCACTCCTCCACAGAACCGTGACTGGCAGGGAGCCCCACACCCTCCTTGCTGTGTGACTCAGCCCCTGCAGCCCCCACAGGGCTTTTGTTCCCCATTAAAGCTGGAGTGCTGCTGGCTGAACCCTCCCCGATGAGCAGAGCTGGCCCTGGGGAAGCAGCTTCACCCTCTCTTGCTGGGACAGAGACCTGCCTGGGAGCTTGCCAGTGCTCCCTGCATGGATGCATGGCCCTGCTCCATGTCCTCTTGCTGCCCATGGGCACTGCAGAGGCTGGGAGCAGGCTGTGGAAAGGGAGAAGCAGCAGGTGCCCAGCTGGTGCAGAGGGACCTGTGGCACCTCAGTTCTTTTCACCACCCATGGGGCAATGCCTCCCTGCCTGCCCTGGGGCCGTCTCTGGCCTGTCGGTGCCCCTTTTGCCATGGATTTATGAGAGCCACCTTCACCTGTGCTGGCCAAGCTGCCAGGGTAGGACAGAACTGGGCTGCCCAGAGGAGCTACTGGGGATGCAGGTCCACTCATGTGCTCAAGAGATTTTGGCAAACGTCTGTCTTATCCCTTATGGTTAAACGCCACCAAGCTGAGGAAGGGGATGGCCAGTAAGGGATGGATGCAAGTTGAAAGCTGGAGGAGAGCAGGCTCCAGACTTCCAGGTGGGAAGGAGTGGAGAGCATTTCTCACTGGTGGACGTGTTGGTGCCATAGGAAAGGAGCTTCAGGGTGGGAAGTAGAGGCCCTTATTGCAGGAAATGTCCCAAGAGCCAGGCAAAGCAAAGCTCTGGGGTCACAGCGCATTTGATCAAGGCTGAGAGAGGGCCTGGACAGTGGGTACCTCCTGCCTTCCCAGGGGGGCTGATCCTGTGCTACAGAAACCTCCTCTGCAGGGAGGAGCTGGCCCTTTCTACCCACATGCCAAACTGTACAGCTGTCACACAGGCAGGGCAGGGCAGATTTTGTGTGTCTGGAGGAGACATCACAGGATATGCCTGCATGAGGGGATGTAAAGGATTGCTCAGGCTTCTGCATCTTTCTCTGCCCACCTCTCTCAGAAGGACATTTCACATGTCTGTCACAAATCGGGTCACCCTTCACTTGGAGCTCCCTCAGGACCTGGGAAAAGCAGGCAGATGCTGCTTGGGGACAATGTGGCTGGGCAGTTGTGTTGGGTCAGTCCTGTCCTCCTGGCACCCAAGGCACCCTTCAGCTGAGCCAGGTCACCTGTTTACATAGCACTCACCTGTGCCCTGGGTAGGGGTTTCCTTCTGTGTTGGCACATGGAACAGTGCAAGGGTATATTGGTATTACAATACAGACCCCATCCTCGTTTTTGCAGGCACAGGCAGAGCATGAGCCTTCTAGGAAGCAGCATTTCTAGTGAGTACAGCTCTGGGAAGGAACAGTCTCCTCCCCTGGGCAGAAGGAGAGGAACCTCCGCCCTGCTCACCTCTAAGCCCCATTCCAGCCACCAGATTAGAAAATCAACACAGATTTGTTGAGGCAGGCTGGGTCAGTGTCCATGCAGGTGCCATTGCTGTTAACAAGCCCTCAGTACCTGTGGAGTATCAGGACGTGTGACCTCCCCATTCTCCCCAGAAGGTGTCCAAAGCCCAGGCTCCTTGCCAGGTAGCAGGACCAAAGCCTGCTGATCACATGATGGATCCATGTGAGTGCTAGCACACTCCCAAATGGGAACAGCAAGAGGGATCGTGCTGGGCTTGGAGAGTGGGGATACTCTCCTGAGATCCCTAACAGGACTTGTCCTTCTTTAACGAACAAAACATACCCACAAGGCCGCTGCTATGGACTGCCAGTGACCTGCTTGGCAGTGGTGTGCCTCAAAAACCAATTATTTTCTCTCTCTCTCTTTTTTTTTTCTTTTTTCAATTGGCCTGTAACAGAGAACAGTCCGGAATAATTTGTCTCTGAAAAACGAAGTCCATGTTCCGTTAGTGCTCCTTTGCTCAGGGGTTGTAAGTGTCGAGAGTGCATAGGCTTCCTAGAAATGTGACCCTAAATGAGCAAAAGCCCATCTTGGCACGGCAAAGCTTGACTGGAGGCACTTGGAGTAGACCAAGCACAACTGAGTGAGGCTGAAGGTGACTTGTAAAGAAGGTGACTCTTGCTTTGCTAATTCTCTTGTTCTGCTCTAATTATCTGCTGTAGCCAAACTGGTAGATGTGATTGGCTGGCTGCATTTCAAGGGGCATACCAGGGATCAAAAGATCCTAATGTGCCTGCTTTGAGCAGCTCAGAATTATCTAGTAGACTGCAGAATTAGGAGGATTTGTCAAGATGGAGGGGAATTTTCTCCTGATGGAATGGGGTTCTGGTTGCTCTGGCCACGTCAGTGATAAGGCACCAAAGCCTGAGAACTTATCCTTTTAAGAATTTCCCTCTTGCACCTGTTTTCCATTGTGCATGAAGGGTGCATGCCAGAATCTCCCTGGAAGGCAATTCCTAAAGAGCTGCCTGAAGTTTCACAGGGGTGAGCAGAGCAGGAGCCACTCCCTTGGATGAAATCTGGTGAGTGCAGAGAGCAGCCCCACCCCACAGTGGGGGAAGGTGCATCATACTGATGCAGGAATAGGAGGCTGCTTTTGGACAAGGTGTAACAGGGAAAACATCAAAACTAGTTCTGGCCCAGGACACAAACTGCAGGGCAAGGCCAGGCATTTTCTTGCCTCAGTGGGTGTGCAGGGGAAGGGAGCTCTAAAGGGGTCTGCGAAACCCACGTCAGTCTAACCCGCCACTCTTCAATGACCTGTCATGACAGCGTGGCATCAGCTTTACTCTCTCCACAAAGAAATTGTAATACACAAAAAGAGACCTTTGCAAGCCCCAAGCCTCACATTCTTCTGCTGTGGCAGAGTCAGTCCTGCAGTACCATCCCAGCCAGAGGTGAGAGACAGAGCCACCTTGTAGCATCCCTGAAAGGGGCTACTGCTTGGGCTGCTTTCCAGATATGGAGGGCCTGACTGCAAGAAAGAGTTGTTTCAATAGCCAAATTCTAATGTACCCACTTGGAGCTTTCTAGAAAATGAAGATTTGTTTTCTAGATCCCGTTGCCTTGTGTTTCACATAAAATCAGGACAAAACAAACCAGTTTTCACAGATGCCAATGGACTGTCAGAAGTACAGCCAGCCTACCAGCCAGGACCCAGGTCATTGCCAGTCGGAGCGCAGCTACTCCGCTTTTACAGTTAATGGAAGGATTTAAGTACTTTTTCAGACAGGATGGGACCGGAGCTATGTCTTTGTTGTGCAGACCCCTTCACAGTCCCTGCACCTCACAGACTTTCTTCCATGATCTTCCTCCTTTCAAGAGGATGATAGTGGTATTTTGAAGGGGGAAAAGGAACTGAGACAGAACAGTTCTGACTTGTTCAGAACTGCAGAAGAAATGACAGTGCTGCTGGAAACAAAACATGCAAGTCTGCTTCTTAGCCCCCCAACACTGAGCATGGGGTCCCAGTACTGAAGCAATTCTGCACGTGGCCTGGGAATGGAACAGAGAGCAGGAAGTGAGGAGCTGTGCATGTGGGCTGGCGTGACCATGCCTCAATGAAAGGACCTGTCAACCCAGGATTGATGCTGCAACTTTTTATTTTATTTTTATTTTGCTTCACAAAGCAAATGCAGAGCAAGTGATAGGAGGAGGAGAAAAGGTGGCTTGGAAAAAACCAAAAACAAAAAAAAAATTTAAAAAAAAAACCAACACAAACCAACCAACCAACCAACCAAAAAAAAAAACCAACCAAAGAGGAGAGAATAGGCAGCTGCTGGAGTATAAGTTGAAAGTGAGCTGCTACAAGAAGTTGATAGATGCCAAGCCCGCACTAATTCTTAATAAAATACAATACTGAAAATAGGATCTGAGAGTCTCCAAAATACAATATCTTAAGGGATCGGCAATAATACAAAATAAGGTTCATTATGTACAAACGAGTTCTGCTCTTGGTCTCTGTACAACGGTGGGAGTGAGAGGCATGGGGACATGCTCAGTGGAAGTGTTGGGGTGGAGGAAGGCGTGCTTGGACCCGGCAGTGGTTCTTTGTGCTGGGGTGGAGGTGGAGGTTGGGAAATGCAGTGGTATCTGGTGACCTTGAGAAGAGCTATGCTGAAAGCCACCTTCTTCCTCACCCCACTGGCCACGCAGGTATGGCTGCAGCTAGCTGTGTCCAAATTTTTCCTAAATGGCTTTGGGGGCAAAACCAATTTTCAAAAGGTAGAAAAGAAGGATATGAGGGCCCTTCCCTCGCTTCTCCTATTCATTGAGCAAGAGCCATCCCATCCTTCCTCTCCAGGGGGCCTTCTCCACTCCCAGACTGGACGAAGAGGAGAGGCTGGGGCAGTGCAGAGTGAGTCCAGGGTGCTTGATGAGAAGCAAGTGGAAGAGGAACCTGCTGTGAGACCTGACAGAGTGCGCAGGGACTCCCGTGTTAAAATATGGGGCAACCTGCCACATCGCAGATCTCCACCACTCATGTCCCACGTTGTCCTTTCATCAAATGGCAGCTGAGGGAATGGAGCGAGGACACACTTAAGCCTTTCTACAGGGCTTTTGATGGGGAGGGAGAAGGATCAGAAATGAGTGTCTGGGTGCTAAAAAGGATGGCACAGGCTTGAGATGAGGTCACTTCAACACCAAAATTGGCAAGTCTGGCCTGAGGGATGGTATGGCAAGCATTTGCTACCTTTGGTGTCAGTACTTAGAAGGAAGAGGTCTAAGACTGTCTTTCGTTACCCTGGCCAATTCCAGCATGCCACCCCTTTCCTGACAGATGTACCTGTCTCAAGAAATGCCAGTATGTCCTCAGTGGTTTTCACAACACTATGTGTTGTGTGCACACGGAGGATGTGAGGGGAACGATGGCTAATCTGACAGACCTCCAATGGGTTTCAGAGCCTTCCTTGGTGGTTCCTAGAAAGACCCCATTTGTCATGAGGCCAAATTGGGGATGGAGAGCTGGGACGGGGGTCAGATTATAGGAATGTGTTTCACTCACTCTCAAAGGAAATGCCTCCAGAATGGAAAGCGAGAAGACCACTGACCTGGTTAGCACTGCACTGTAGGGTCCAAGCTGGGAACAGATGGAGAAATACCACTCCTGCCAAAGCAGGGGTGCTGAGGGTGGGGAGAAGTGGGTTGTGGGGGAAAATTGTTATCTATTTCAGAGCTCTGGTTGTCTAAAAGCTGCTGGCTAATTTTTATGGTGATTTATCTGTCTGGGATCTGCCTTCCCCACGCCGTTTGTGTGCAGATTTTTGCAGATATTTGGCGTTGAAATTACGTAGGCATGTCCATCAAGAGAAAACTAGAGCAAGGAAGAACTAGGTTTTCTCTCAGTGGAAGGAGAAATATACTAACTGATGGAGGGCAAGGAATGAGCTCAAACTCTCCAGAGCCATCTCTCCAGCACCAGCATCACCCACTCCTAAGTCTCCCAGGCAGGACAGTAAATCCAACACTCTCTCTTCTCTCTCTCCTTCAGGTGCACCTGATGTAGCCAAGGGGTACAGAGCTGGGGACAGCCCCCTGGGTCTGGAGGCTTTGGGGAGTGAGCTGAGTAGTTTGGGGGCTCCCCCGATCTCACTCCACTTCAAGGTGAGCCCACATCCATAGGGTAGTGCTCACTTAAGCAGGAGGTAAGGCCAGGAGAAGAGGGTGTCCAGGGCTTCTCCAGAGATCTATTGCTGGTTCTGGCAGTCCTGTGACTCCCCTTAGAGAGATCATTACTAATGGGAAGAATGGGGAAGGGGAGGAGCTGAACCCAAGGCCAGTTTACTAGTGTCTGAATGCAGTGTCCTCTCCTGCCAAGTCCCCTCAGTTGCTTGGTGAGGAGGGAATCCTGCAATCTGACAAATGAGGCCTTGAGGTCCAGCAGCTGCTACAAGAATTCAGTTGTCTCACTGGAGCTTGTCTCCCTGAGGGAAAGAAAAGACAAAGCATCAGTCAAGGTTCATTGCAGCCTCCTATTCAATTCACCTTTCTGTGTGCCCAACTAGTTTGCTCTGATCGGGATGAACTCCTTCACCAGGTCACTGAATGGAATGCAAACCTGGGACCACCTGAGTCATCCAGCCCTCTGCAGCTCTATGCTAGTGGGTCGCTGCTTTATGAAGTCTCAGACTTTTGCTCTAGAAAATAAACTTGTTCTTATGCTCTCTGCCAGGCCTCCTTCAGCCACTGCTGATTGCCTGCCCCAGGTGGCTCAGCTGTCCTTAGCTTGCAGCAGAGGGGACAGACATGCCTGCTGCTTACTCCCATACACCACGCTGTATTTTGGGCTCAGAAGGTGGCCCCATGTGCTTACCTCTCATGGAATTGCTCTTTGAGGTGGGTGAGAGTTGTGTCAGTTCGGTTCTGGTCGGGACCCTCCAGCTGGGTTTTGCTCAGATATTTGGCTGTCTCATGTGTCCTGGCCAGATGAGGCCTTCCCTCCTCAGATTGCCTTTTTTCAGCCTCCCACCCCTCAGGATGGTCCATGGTTAGGAAGGAGCTATAGCTCTCTTCTAAGGAGCCAGCACCCTCATCATAGAAAAGAAGGCTCCGTGACTGAACTGGAAAAAAGGAGAGCATTGGTTAACAATGAGGATAAGGTCTCTTGCAACGGGTATGGGTCATGACAGTGGTTTCAGCACATGCTCACCCAGCCTTGTCCATGTGTAACTTTGCAGGATACCCTCCTCCCCCCCAGCTTCAGGAGGCAAATGAAGACAGACCCCTGGACACATAGCCTCTTCAGAAGACAACCAGTCTGCCCTGGGACTCTTCCCTCATATTCCTTCCTTTGACACTTGCCATGTTTTAGGACAGCAGTTAGCATGGAATGACAACAGGCCCCAACAGAGTTTTTACCACTGGCAGATTAGGAATCTTCCCTCACCACAGCCCCAGCATATGGGATAGGCACAGAGGGGAGGATGCTATGCCTGAGCAGGGACTGTTGAGAGCAGAGCCAGAAATGGTTTGACAAGTTAAAATGGAGGAACCACATTAGACTCACTCTTACTAGTTGTGTAAATGTCTGGTGCTGGTGTTGCTTTCACTGTCTGTGATGCTGAGGAGAACTCAGGGAGACAGGGCATCAGGGATCCCAGGATCAGAACGAAGCAGAGTGCCAGCACCTAGAGAGGAGATCAGCACAGAGTCAGTGCCGCTGAAGAAATGCCATGAAGAACCATTCCCCTCCACAGCACACAAACATGAGGCTGTGTAAGAAGATCTGATCAGGCTGACAGTTGGGTACCTGTGGTCCCCCAGGATGGGAAGGGACTTGCTGTTCTAATCTCTGCCTCAAATCTAAGAAGGGAAATCAGAAACTTCCTCTTGTTGCTTTATTTGGAGTGTTTCTGGTTCAATAGTGAGAACTTGTCCGTCCAGTTGAGAAGAGATAGTGGAAGGCGTAGCTGAGAAACAAGCTGAGAAAGAATGAGACTCAACAGAAGGGACGAACTCTGCCTTGACCAAAGGGAACCTGACCGTTGGCTCAGCAGGAGCTATTGTAGGCTGTAAAAAAACAAGCTCACTGGGAGAAATCTGTGAGGTACCACAGGACATAGCAAGGTGAAGCTACTATCCATGTGAGGACAGAAATGACAGCAGAATTACAGTTGCCTAATACCTGATAGTAAAGATGCTGAGTCCAATGAAAGGGTTAAATTTATGCTTGACATGTAGGTATGCAGGACCACGTGTGCAAGACCCTCTGCTGTCAGGCACACCAGTCAGAGCTACTAGCTCAATAGGAGAAAGGCATATGAAATCTCCCTGGAAATGCCCCTCAGGTAGGTCTGGACCTGTCTGGAAATTCTGTTGTAACTGCAAAGCTTCAGAGTGAGATGCCAGTGCTGATTTTAAGAGCCTCTATAGAGCTTAGGGAACTGTCAGTAAAGAGCAAGAAGGGACACAGGGGAAATGGTACAGAGCCAAATGCTTGTTACCTGAACACCCATGCCGCCAGCTCAGTACTCAGACTTAGCAGCCAAAGAGGCAATGCATCTGTTGGTGATTTCTACTACCTACATATAAACTAGCTAAGTTTGACCTGGGGGGACACCTGTGGGCACAGCCAGCAATTGCTTGACTGCTTTTCAGAAGTTTACCTATTTCAGAATAGCTGTGCCTAATTAATGCACAGAAGCTGGTACATCAAGGTAATTTTGACCACCAGTGAATTCCAGGAGATATGGAAGATAGAATAATAACATGAGGATACTGTGCTATGTAAAGAGGGATTTTAATTGTCCAGACTCTTCATGGCTGGTTTTAAGGAAGGACATTAAACATGGAGAGCACAGATGCTGTCTAAGTACGTCATATCAGGCACACAAGGCATTTAGAATCCTTATTCCACAAAAACAGAGGAAAAATAAATTATGAATAAATGTTGTTTGGAATTATCACAGCCAAACACACAACTTGCAGAAAAGGGAGCCAGCCCTGTGAAGTCTGTTCTTCCCTCCTAAAACAAAACAGGTTTTTGGGCTGGGAAAGAGCAGTATACTTAACATCTTGCTTTAACATGGCTTTCAACTGGGGCTTTGCAAAACAGCATTGTTTTTGCTCTGTTTTGTTTCAGGTTAACTCTGATGCTCTGATTCAGTTCTAGTTCAAACTCTACAACACTTCATAACAATAACTTGTGTTTTGACTCTGAGTACAATTCATCTCACAGCTTTTGACCATCTCATTACTCAACCTCTTAAAAGTGAGGGAAATCAAGCTAGAGAAAAACTACTTCAAAACCAGTTGGAAAAGTGGAGGAAAAACTAATCAAAAAAAGACATACTGAGAGTGTATTTATCAAATGGTTCACTGTCAAACTGTGAGGAAGTAGCAGATGGAGTAGCAGAGAGATCTGTTATGGATCTGGCAAGATTCAGCATTTTTAAACTTTACTTGAATGATGGACTGTATGAAATCTGCAGATGGGAGAGACTACAAGCAGACTGGCTTTTGGTCAATATTCAAATTCAGAATGATCTTGATCATGGGAAGAAGTGGTCCAAGAGAACAGTGGGAAGATCTATACAGACAAATGTGGAGACCTGCTGAAACCTCCAAGGTGGCAGGACTGATTAACAGAGGAAACACATCAGTGACTACATGTTTCAACTGTTCTAGAGAAGATCTGGGAGTTAAAATGGAGCACAAGACAGGCCCAAATCGGTGTCACTTTGCAAAAGGCAAATCGCAGCCCAAGCAGAATGAATAGGCTTTCTGGCTGGATCTGTACTAGCCTTCAGGTGGAACACTGTGTCCAGCTTTGGGCCCCATACTTCCAAAAAGATGCAGGGCCACTGAAGAAAGTCTGGAATAGAGCTCTGGGAACAAGCAGTGATTCAGTAATTCAGCCTACAAGGGAAGACTGAAGAAATCATAGTGATTTAGCAGAGCAGACTGAAGGGAGTTGCTTGAAAACAAGAGTTTTCCAATATGTAAAATGCAGATGCACAAAGGGGGAGTAAACAGATCTTGCTTGGGCAGAAGTTCTAATAGGCTTAAGCTGTTGCAAGGGAGATTGAGATGAAATAGCAAGAAAGCTTTATCTGGAAAAGATAACATGGTACTGAAATGGTTTGCCCTGGGAGGCTGAGTACTGCTCACCACTGGAGGCCTTCAAGAACTGGCTGTACAAATATCCAGCAGGAATGACACAGAGCTAAAGAAGTCTGCTCCACTCCTATGCTGCAAGGCATGATGATTCTACATATCTTTTGTGATAAAAAGTGCTGTATTTGAAAATGGAAAATGGGAACTAGGAGGCTTAAGAGAGGAACTGGCCAAAGATAGAAAAGCAAATTACAAATTCTTGAAATGCTTGGAAGCTAGGAAGCCTGAGAGAGTTGGTGTGTGGGCTGGGATGCCTGGAATGAAGGGAGCAGCAAGGAGAGATAAGACATTGTTGGGACGCTAAATTAGGTATTTTATCAGTCTGTAGCACAGGGGATATCTGGCACCTCTTCTGGACTTGCTTATTCCAGGTAGTAGCATTGAAGATTTGCTGCAGCCAGGGATATTCTGATGAGATGCTGCATTAAGGAGCAATAAGCCACTGGGCTCAGGTAGGTCACACCTGAAAATCTGGAAAGAACTTGAGAATGAAGACATAGAGCAGCAAAAAGAAAAGACAGTCATTAAAATCTGGTCTGACATGGGGGCAGCAAAGAGTACCAAAAGCTTGAGCAGATTTTGAAAGTGCTGGAAATTATAGAGCAGGGGCTCTGGAACTATGGAAACTGAACTAAGAGCAAAAAACAAACCCTCAGGACACTGAGGATACTGAGAAAATGGGGCAAGCTTCTCACCATCTGTCTGCTTTTCGTGACTGTTAGCAGTACAAAAGTGATTACCAGATAAAGATAACTAACTCTGACAAATTTGTCATGACCAGCTACTACGACAATCCTGCAAAGACATCACAAGGGTGAAGGTTATATTTTTACCATGGATCAGAAACTTTCCCCCAGCCAAAACTGAGATGAAGAATAAGCAATTGACTCTATGGCTACACAGTGGCATGTCCTAAAACAACTCAGTGAAGCCAATATTATTTAACCATGATCCTCCACTAGGAGAAATGAGAGGTAAACAGGGATTACCAAAATAACAGACAACCCTGATTAATTTTGGTTAGTCAAAAGGGCAAACAAAGAGAATTCCAGCTGGATTTAACAAAGCCTGATGTGCAAGCATAGCAAGAACATGCCATTTCTCGCTAATAAACAGAAGGTAATGCCCACTGGGATGAATACTTGGACTGTTTGTCCACCTTGCTGAGTTAAACATTAAGCATTACCAACTCAGCAAAAGAAAACTCTACCCACTACGATGGAAGCTCATTGAAGATTTTTTCTGAATGGCTGATAGCTAATGAAAGGCAAACAAAGTGCCATTTTGCCCAAAGAACAAGACAGTGAAAATGCAGGAATTATTCTAATGTTTCTGCATAAACAACTGTCAATACCAATGTATGTATGACCCAGGGCCCAGCTCTGGTGACTATAATACAAAAGGAGAGAGCAGATGTAACTGGCAACACAGCAGGGCAGCAGGGAAGAGGGCAGAGGCAATCTACAAAGTTGTCTGGACAAGCATGGCCAATAAGGAATATGGAAATGAAGCTTATACCATTAGACAGGTCCCGGTCTGCGTGGAAGCCATTTTATAAGGTCTGGAGACTTTCCCAGCTACCAGAGCCTGCAGCTTCTGTAACTGCTGGAGCAGAGTCCTGTGATAGGAAACAACGCATATCAAAACTTGATAAGAGGCAGCAGCCAGTAAGCGAGGCAAGACTATCACTACTCTCTTCATATTTTATCTTGATTTTTCCTCCTTCTGAAAACAAGTATCTCCCCTTTGCTGTTTCTTGCCCAAGTTCTCTGAACAAACAGACTTGGGAAGTGAGAGAAAGAAAAAGATCTCACCAGCAGATCCACCGCCACCTTCACTGCACCTACCCACTGCTGTGAATGTCTCATTCATTTAGGACTCCTGGCTGCCTCAAAGCCCAACTTGTCAACTCCCAGAGCAGTGGAGAGCCAGGGTACCATGAAAACCAAGTTCTGGGATGGTGACTGAGCTTTGTAGACAGCTCAGGCCTTTAGCACAGACTTGTCTGCTCCCACTTCACTTACTGACACACTCTGAAGCTCCAAAGCATGAGGTAGAGAGAGAAATAAGAAACAGTTGTGATCCTCTCCAATTTATTCAGTCTTGGCAAACTCTGCAGAGGAATATGGGCAAAGCCAAATCTTGAGTTCAGCAATTAATCATTCTCTGGCTGCCCTGGTTGGAACATGTGCTAAGGTCTCTCTGCCCCATTTAACTGTTCATGGGCATCCACACACATAAACACAAAACAGTGGTAAGTGTTACCAAGAGGTACTGAACCCTTCATTGAGCTGGTGAAGGAATCTGGAATGAGGGAGACTACAAAGCACACAGTTCCCAACAGCTGCAAATTACTGAAATGCAGACTACTGCTGAGTTTCCCTGGGGGAGCACTGATTGTTTTACACAAGTATGTTTGAACTTTTATGAAATGCCAGGTCCTAGGGCCAGGTGACTGCAGGAGAATCCCGGCTTTATCTCTTTCCAAATCCTCTTCAGCTACTTGTACACGTGGAGAGAAGCACACAGTGTCCCACTGGCAGTGCTCAAAAACCAAATCCAATTCGAAAGAACACAATGTGTATTTTGAAAAAAAAATCTCCCGGTTTTTAGGCCAATCTCCTGATTTTTCAGGGTGGGGCTAATGCTTTTTCAGCAGCAGGGCTGCCCACACTCCCAGAGAGGCCAGGGGGCAAGCTGTGCCTCATGCATGAGAGCAGCTGGGCAGCTGTATCTCTGGCAGATGGGAGACCTCTGGCTCTTGCACACCTTTGCCAGACCACACCTGACAGCCCCCAGTCCTGGCACCAGTGGCTGGCCTGGAAGCCAATGCCACAGCACTCATGTCATGGATGGGAGGAAGGAATGTGGTAGAGCCTCTAGGAGTTCTCCATGAGCCTCTAGGAGTTCTCCATGAGCTGTAATGGCAGCAGAGGAGTGGGTGAGGAACTGACTCTCTGGCTGTGGTTCTCCTCTTCAATTCGAGCTGATATAAATGGGGCTACAAAAATGAGCATCCCCTTCACCAGCCCTGCACTTGACCCTGCCCTTGCTCACACCTGCTGCACCCAGTAAGGGCGAGCAGATTTAGGCCCTTCTCCAGCTCCTGCTGCCCATCCCCACTGCAGAGGTGGAAGTCTTCATATATGCTTCCAAGGAAGCAAATTCCCCTGGTGATCAGTTGGCCAGCTCTGCATATTTGAAGCACAGGTGCTCACCAGAGCTTTGGGTGAGGGATCTTTGGGGCTGTGGGAGCAGCTTGCTCCTTTCAGGGGAGCAGCAGCAGCAGCAGCAGCAGTGAGGGAGATTCTCTGGGCTTGTTTTGCCCAGAAGAGGCTAAGAAATGGCTGGAACACCATATGCACAAGGAATTACCCTAGATTTGGTTGGAGCTATCTTTATTAGAGGAAGAGCCTTTCCCTGTATTCACCAAGTCTGTTCAGCTTTCTCAAGAGAAACCTGAAACAGCCACAATATGTCCAGGGCCTTGTATTCCTCCAAAGAGACCAAAAGCAGAAACAATGGGTCTGAGAGGCTGGTGTGAGAGGCCTCCCTTGATACATCTGTCCTGGAGACAGCCAGAGACCTGGAGGGCAATGTGGAAGGCAGCATGAGCCCAAAGGGCTGCAAGGAGAAGGCGGAAAATATAAGGGATATGGGAAACGCCTTCCCTCCCTCCCCTTGCTGTGGTGTGGCCTGGTCATCCCAACACAAACATTCCAGGCTTGCTAACCAAACCCAGCTGCCTCATTGCTGTCACAGGCTGAAAACCAGTGCCTTGCTGAGCAGCACCCATCCACCAGGAGCTGGGACAGCCTGCCTTTCTCTTCTCAGCCCTCTGCCCCAGCACTCCCTGACTTCCCTTCCCGCTCACCCTGCCCTACCCACGGAGGGTCAGGTCTAGCCCCTCTTACCTGTTTGCGTTTTCTAAGGTCTCCACTTTTTTCCAGAGTTCATTGTTTTCTGTTGTGTATGTCTCAACCCTATGGGAATAAAACCCATAAGCCAGTTAGTTACAAAGGCCAGACAGATAAAGAATGTAGTGCTTGCCTCTCTTGGGGTGTGGAGGCTCAGTAGCCTCATCCATCACCTGCAGATATGGTCCTGGAGTCAAATGTTACTGGCCCAATGTTGCTGCCAGCCCTGATAGAGCAGGGATGAGACTGCAGGTGAACAGTTAAGTGTGACAGTTCAGGGTTTCCCGAGGTTTGGGAGAGACAGTAACATTTGGTTACAGGCAGATCAAGTCAGGATAGACCCAAAGTTACGCAGACATTTTCATCACTTCCAAACCCCCCTAAGGAGCATGAAAAATGAGGAGGAGGAGGACAAAGTAAAACCTCTCCCACTCAGACTGAGAACCTGCCCTGGCTGTGCACCCTGGCTGTGAAATCCAGGCTGCTCCGTGCAAACGCTGGGCCAGTTACGACTGCAGACACTTGAGGGCAGCAGAGAACCTGCAGGCTCCCTCCTACGGCTTCCCAACTGCAGTGGTTGGGCTGCAGCTGGGACAAGGGAAGGGGAATGCCTCCACGCCCGGAGGAAGGCAGGCCAGGGACACAGCCTGATCCTGACGGAGGCTTCCAGGACAGCCTCTGAACTAGGCGTTCCGTGCAAAAATTGGGCTTGCAGCAAAAGTGTCAAACTGAATGGTGAAGAGCCCAATTACAGGTTCTGACTAACCAGCTTTTACAGAAAGCCAAACTGACCAAAGACATGTTCCATTAAAAAAAATCACTGAAAGCTGCTTTTGGTTCACATTTAAACCTGGCATTGTTTGAAAGCCATCTGTCATAGCAATGCTCCAGTGTAACAAACTGCTGAGTACATACAGGCACCATGCACAGCCACAGCTGGGAAACAGGCCCCAGCACCAAACGCCCTGGACCTGTCCCTTAAGCAAGGCCAGCCAACTCCTCAGCTCCAGCTTGAAGGATCTGGTTGAAGGATCTGGGTGTCAGTGTGGGACACTAGCTGGAGATTATGTGCTCTGATGCCTGGACACACACATGCACACCGAGATGCTCCGTGAGAACCTGAAGGTGCCTCAAGTCATCTGTTTTAATTCAGCATTTCTATGCAACTAGAGAAGATAAACAGGTAGCATCAGGAAGAAGGGTTAATTAAGGTTGGTTTTGGGGGTTGTTTTTTTCCATTTGCTGATCTCAGATGGTGTTAGGAACTGAGAAGAAGATAGTATTTCTGCAGAAACATGAATTTGCTCCTGGATCCTAGCATTCTTCTTTGCCCATTATGGGAATGCCCATTGGGGTTGCTAGTACAGAAGTTATTTTCTACCCTGTCAGTGTTATGTGATGTCACCATAAGCTTATGCCTGCTATTCATGCAGGACCTCAGGGTTGCAAGGAGAAAACCAAAGCTAATGCAGAGAGTGGAAGGGGAGGAAGTGTGGGGAATAACTGTAGTGCAAGGCTTTTCTTGCTATCAAGTGCTTGTGTGTCCGCCTTCATGGGAAGAGAGGGGGAAAAGCCATGGATAGCACTCTCAGAGAGCCCACTGCTTGTGGGACAAAAAAACCAGAAACAACTTCTAGTGGGGAAATAGGACTCTTACCCAAAATCCCACCTTGTTGGCAGCCAAAATGGCCTGTGTTTTGCAGGGGACCAGCCAAACTAAGCAGTTGGAAACATAAAATTTCTTGAGCAATCTTTATCCCACAAGAAGGCTTTTAGGAAGGAGGGGAATAGGGGCAGGATCCCAAACCAAACTCCTGTGCAGCCAGCCTTGCAAGAAATCATACTTTCTTAGCAATTCACAAAACACTAGAAAGGAAGACTGTGCATGGACAGGATTCTTTTTTTTTAAAGATAAGACTGAGAAGAAGAAACTTACTTTTTCTCTAGACACTCCACATACTCTTTCTTCTTCCTGCGACTCTCCTGAGCAGAGATCTGGGAGGGAGGCAAGCCATCAGAGAGGAATCAACATCATAAATGTCTGGACATTTTGTGGCTCATGCATCTTGTCTGTTCCCTGCACACACAGTACTCTAAATGGGGAAGTCGCCTTCCAGTCTGTCATTCCTACTGGTCTCCAGGCCAAAACTGGGAGGGATGGATGCTGTAGGTATGCAGCCTTTCTTGGCCTGTAGGCCACAACCATTTGTTGCAGTATGTCCCTCACTGCTGAAAGCATCTTTAGGGGTGCTTTGAACTCCTCTGACTCACATGGGTATGTGCTGTGGCCATCTGGGCTGATTCTGCCCCAGATCACTTATGAGTCACCTGGTGATTAATTCAGGCTCTCACCATTTCTCCCACAGGATGCTTTCCTATACAGTATAAAGTCTCACAGCCTCTGCCTGGCTCATGAGCTCTGTGCATCACCCGTCCTGCATCATGCAATGGCTCTGGGTTTCCCTGCCTCCACCAGCAAGGGGACTGACCAGGCCAGTTAGTCTGATCTGTGATGCCTTGGCCTGTGGGCCCTATGAAGGCCACACATTCCCAGGAGCTGGGCTGGAAGCCATACTTCCCGGATATGGCTGTATGCAGAGCAAGCATGCAGAGATGACCCCTGGCACCATTTTTGTGGGTTGGGAGGCTCGTGCTAATGTACCAAAGGCAGGATCCCACCTTTTCTGAGCTGCAGTGCAGCTGAGGAGGTGAGGGTAACTATAGCACTGGTCAGCTGAGGATGCTCTGGGATCATGGGAACTGTATGATTACATTTTTTGCAGTCACCTTGTTCTTGATTTTCCTCCTGACTCTCTTCAGTGCTTTCTCCTCTGCTTTGGTGAGGGGCAGCTTGGTAGGAATGGGGTAACCCTCAGCAATCAAGGTGCGCTTCTCCTCTTCAGTCAAGAGCAGCGGGCCAGAGGTTCCTTGTAACTTCTGAAACACACACAGAGCATCCATCAGTGCCAGCAAGGAGTTCTATCCCAGTGATCCTCTTTAAAGCCTTGCAGAGCATCCAGAGGCTGTATACATCAGAATGGAATACACTGCTTCCCACTGATACTAAATAGGTGCAGGACAGTGCTTTTTTCTGCTCTCAACCTGATCACGGGGGCACAGCTCAGCAGCTCTTTTCCTCTTTTACTTGGGAGGGGATCTGCTCTTTCATGGTGAGGCTGGCTACACAATTCCACTGCAGGACCCTGCCAAAGAACTTTTGGGCAATGGATAAAATGGTCTGGTTACGGGAATTCTCAATAATTCCTTTCTCTCCCATTAACCTCCTCAGAAAGTCCTCTAGTGCATAGGCCACTTCCCAAGGTTGGGGGTGAAAGACAGTACCTGCTAAAACAAGGTAGCTGATGGTAGGTATTATGCAAGACTCACTGTGCCTCTCCTCACTCCTCACCATCCTGTCCCCACATCCCCGTGCTAAGACATCACATGGCTTTGCCAGAGCACTGCAGCTTGGAGACCATAACAAGAGCAGGATCCCCTACGCGAGCCTTGGAAAGCCTCCAAATCCCTCTGAGCACCAAGAAGCCCCGTGTCCCAGTGATGTCCTTCTGCCTCCTTACGTGTGGTGCTGTGAGGAGAGGTGAGGAGGAGATGGCAGTAGAAGAGCGAGCAGCAGGCCGGGCTGGGCTGGAGGGAGGCAGGGACCGAGGGCTCTGAGATCCATCGCTGTCACTGCCATGGCTGCTGGGTGGAGTTGGAGGCATCTGCACCAGGTCATCTACTGAGAAATAAGGAGGTCAAGTCAATGGCTCTCATGTCAGCCTGTTGGTAGAGGCATAGGAGAGGGTAGAAGAAAGGAGAGGGTGATGAGTTTCCCAAGATGGGGTGGGTCTGAGAATCAGGATGGACTGAGCACTGCCCAAGAGAGAAGTGAGACTGACCTCAAATGTGCTAAACTAGGAACTGCAGGAGAGCTGGTAGGGGCTTTGCCAAGACACTGAAGGTATTTACAAAACAATAAGGTACTCCAGTTCAACCAAAATGAAGTACAAAGCCCATGATGTTCACAAGTACAGAAAGCTCTGTGAGAGAAAAGCTCTTCCAAAAGCACTGCTGGGCTCACACACTTGACAGCACACTTGATCCAAAGGGGCTCCGGTCACTCAGTAATTTCCAAGCACTTGAAAACTGTCCCCACTTTGTACTGGAGAGCCCTGGGGGCCTTCATGGAAGTGGGAATATGCCTAAGGAATGTCTTTCTGCGGTAGTGGGAGTTCCTATAGTGCTTTCATTTGTGCATCGGCAGATTTTCAGATGCTTGGGTTTCTTTCAAATTAAACTGGATCCTGAATTTCCTGACTTTCAGATGGTTATTTTTGGATAACTCTACGGTCTCTCTGAGGATTTTAAAGGCACTCTTGCATATTTCCAACTCTGAAGTAGCCTGCTTTGCCTGGGAGTCCCTATCTGAACAATTTCTGTGTGTGGCTGCTGGTCCAGACACCGATCTGCATTGGAACAGTGCAATGCTCACTCCTCTATTATTCTGTGCCCCAATGCTACCTTGTATGCATGGCTCTGACCTCAGGTGTTGTCTTTTCTCCCAATATAATAACCATCCATATCTGAGTAATATAGTTGACCAGGAAATTCTATCTTCTTACCTGTAGGAACATTTAGAAACTGGTTCACCTCTTTGGGTTCAGCTTTGATCACAGGTGCTGGAGTAATTTCTATGGGAATCTGTGGAAAAGAAGCAGAAAGAGCTTTTGGGCACCGCCAAACACCTCACCTCCCCTGCCCAAAAGGCTCCCACCAGTTCTGTTCACAGTCACTGCTCCCCTGCTGCCCGTCTTGCCCCACCTCACAGCTCTGCTCCAAAGCAGCCTCTCACCACACATAAAGGAAACCAAGAGTTCAAACATAAGCCTCTGAAGTCTCAGTTGCTGGGCACACAGAGTGCAAATATGTTTGCAGAGGAAAAGGCAGAGGCAGATGCTTGTGCTGCCAAGCAATGCACTGAGCTGAGTACCTCCAAAAGGGAGATGACTTTTATCCTTGGCAATTATTTTGATAGACCCAGACAGTGTAATTTAAACCAACCCATGTGTTACCATGCAAAGTCCCTCTTTGATCTGCCTTTATTATAAATGGGAATATAGAGGTTATACAGAACAGAAACAGAACAACCACCCTGTCCTGCTCATGATTTTCCCCAAGGCCACTGGTCAACTGTTTCCAATCGGAGGGGACTGAGAGCTGAATAAAGAGTAGATTTACTCCCATCTGGGTTATGCTGCCCTTCAGCTCCTTTGCTTGCCAGCCCCCTGCCCACCACAGGTTGGAGTTTTTACACTAAACAGACACATTTCAAACTCCTCCAGACTGTAAACACAGCTGAGAGAAGACCATGGAATGGCTGCTAAGCACACAGCAGAGCTTTGAGGGCACAGCAAGTTCAAGCTGTGTAAATAATAGAGGAAGTTTGTGCACAGTTTTGGCTGGAAAAAACCATTTGTTTTGGATGGCTGCTTAAATGGGAAGATGATCAGCATGAGTGAAAAAAGGAAGTGAACCCCAGAGATGCTCTACTGTTATCTACTGAGCTGCTTCAGGATAGGCAAGGTCTGTGTGAGACTGATCAGACCTTCTCATGAACACAGCTGGACTCAAGGCCAGCCAAACTGAGCCCTTGACTTACACCCAGATGCCAGTGGCATAACTGTACCTCCTTCAGACAAACAGATTTCTTAAAAACCTGGATATGACAAAAAGAGTTGGCCCCTTGTTTCATAGAAATGATAATTCCTGCTGCTTCATAGGAAAAAGCAAGCAGGACCTGGAGTGGAACCTCCACTTCTAGTGAGCAGTTACGAAAAGTGAGAGGCCAAGTGACAAGTCCAAAAGAGAGCGGCAGAGGAGGGGTCTATACTCAGGAAGAGTGGGGTCACTGGCACCGCACTACTTCACACTGTTTTCTGAAAAATGAAAATAAGCCAAGAGTGGCTATAGAAATACTGGCAGATTGGAGGGGACAGATCTCCATCACGTGCAAGCTTAAAGCCTTTGGCTTTTGTGCCAAGGAACTGGGCTTATATTTAACCAAGATTGCAAAGCCTCCTGTGTTGGAGAAAATCCTCCTTTCACCACTTTCTCTGGAAGGATAAGCTGTCTTCTAGCTTCATTGCAGAAATCAAGAACAGTTCTAGCCAACATCAGGAATGCTGCTTCTCTGACTGCCATTTCAAGAGGAGAATGACAAATAATGCAGTATCTGGGCTTTGTATCACCTTCTCCTCTCTGTCCAGTAGCTAAATCACCTTGCAGGACCCTGCAGTCACATGGCTGAGTCTGCATCACCAAGGGTGCCGCTGTGTGAGAGCCCAGGTTCCCAATGGATCTTAGATGGGCTCACCTCCTCGGGGACTGGCAGTCTCTGCAGAGGGTTGAGGTTCAGCACTGGTATGGAGCTGGCAGCTAGCTGGGACTCAGGCAGGTCTAGAGCCAGGTTCTGTTCCTGTTTCACCATGATGGAGCAGAGCTTGGGCCCCAGCGACCACACTCCATTCTCCAGCTCTGAAACATGCACAACGTGAGAGTCAAACTCTAGCAAGAACAGGGCAAGGAAAATAAAAGCCATGCAGACAGCTTCCCCCTGACTGAGGAGGTTGTCTTTCCAAGTTTAGCACTGTAATCACACAAGCATGTGCAGGCCCACAACACGGAGTGCAAAAGGGAGTGAACCCCCAGCGTGTGGGGAGCAGACAGGACAGAGCTAGAGGAATTGTATCTCTGCTGTGCTCTGACTGTGCAGCCCGAGCTCTGGAGGACAGCTGCAGGGTTTCTTCCCCCAGTAATGTCCATGTCTCATCCTCTGGAGCTTATTTATATTTAAGGCTCAGTGAGAGGAGGATGCTGGGCTGTTGCTCCTGAGGCAGCATGGCCAGCATCACAGAGCTGCCAGGTGTGTTACCAAGAATAGCACCATCTCTGTGCTAGAAAGCTGGTGAGAGGGCAAGCATGATGACAGTAAAAGGCTGACAGTGCTGCTTTGGCCTCCAGATGATGTTGTGCCATCATCTGGATGACGGGCTTTTTTGCCTGACAGAAAGGAGGAAGGTCCATTTCTGTGGAAGGAAGCCCAATGTGGCACCTGCTTGTGAGGCTGCTTCCACAGCTGGTCCCCTCAGTCTCACCTCTGAGACTCTCTCCTTCACCCTGCACTGCTCAGCGGAACTGCTGCCTGCAGCTGTGCCGTGCTGCCATTGCTAGCAGGGGCAAGAAGCAGCAGTGAGGGAAATGAAGTGTCTGAAGAGAACTTGCTCCCTGCCTGCTCTGTCCTGTGCACATTTGAGACGTGAACCTGGCTTGTCACTGGAATTAGAGATCACAGGAACTGGGATTCATGCAGCATCGGATAAACTGCAGCTCAGATGGGAAAAAAGAGTGCTAGGCAGGAAAGCTGCCTGGACTCTGCTCTGAAGTTTTGGTCTTTGCTCTTCAAACACTTCAGCCTGCCAAAAAGCTACTCCTGGCTGGCCTACAGCCTGCACCCTCCTTAATCCTCATGCCTGCCCTTTCCCTTTTTATCTGACAACCAGAAACACATTTGGCTTGACACAGGACAAACTATTGCTAAGTATGTCACCAGATAGTGCCCCAGTTGCCTCCACATGAGGCCATAGTCCAACTCACTCTCTGACCCCTCTTGCACTGCTCTCTGCATGCAGCACTCTCAGTCAGACCCAGGGATGTTGCCTAGCTATCTGCTGCACACAGCAGCTCTTCAGTGCAGGCCGCAGTGCAGAAGATGTCCTGGCAAGAGGAGAGGGGGAAAAAGGTCCTTCTCAGGTCCAGAAAAGCCTGCACAAAGAGTACAAGCAAACAGCTGTTCATGTGGAGCTGCCATCTGATCTAAACTTAAAGGTACCTTAACAACTCAGCCTCTGTTGCCTCTTGGAGATGCCAGGGCAGAATCCTGCCTCTGGCTTTTGCTTGGGCAGAGTGGTGTTAAAGCCTGGGCAAGGATTATATCAGTTAACACAGTGCTGTCCTTGCCAGTGGAATATGTTATCTTCCTGTCTTTGGTCTAGCACCTCTTATTTTCTGCCTAGACAAGTATCTCTAGCACATGCTCGTTCCTTCCAGCTGCCTCTGTGACTGGACATCTTCAAGCACAGACACAGCTCCTGTGGCTGCTCTGTGTGTGTATTAGCTGTGAGTGCTGCCCTCAGTGCTGCTAGATCACTTCCTAGAGCTTCCCACAATGCAGCAGGGCCAATGTCATCAGGCAGCGTCTCAGGCAGGGCTGCACTGCACAGGCATAACAATGGAGAGGCTTCTGAGCAGACGCAGAGTGGACTGTGTTTTCTCTGTCCTGCAAAGGACACCAAACCTGCAGCTGGTAGCAAAGTCTCCTGGTATGCAGACAACCCCCCCTGCATACCTCTGGTATGCAGACAGACCCTTCTGATGGAAGGAGGCAAGGTGGTACACAGTCATGAGTGTTTGTGTCCAGAAAACGTGGACTGACTTCTGCCTGTCACAGAGATAAAGGACCTTGAGAGATCTTCCAGTCTATCCCACTGCTCTAGGCAAGTTCAACCACATCTGTGTCAGTCCTGACAGATGGTTGTCTGACTTAATCTTACTGCTCTGAAAGGCAATGAAGCATCCACAGCTTCCCCCATTTAAATTCTTCTATGGTTTCACTATGCCCAGTATGGGAACATTTTGCCTTACTATGATTTTATGAGAAATAAAATAATCTGGTTTTATTATAAGTAAAGTTATGTAAGTGGGAAACAGGGTGTTGGGACTTCCTTCTTACCTCCCATTTAATTTTATTTCAGGCGTCTCGCGAAGATTGTAAGGTGAAAGGCCCCGTCAGGGCTGTACACCAAGGGAATATTGCGGCCGAGGTAGGATACAATATATAGATGGAAAATTTACATCGGCCACGTGTCTTTGTGTACAGGGGGGTCCCCCTGTACATGTACAGAGGGGTACGTCACCAATCAATCAAGCTGTACAGGGGGTATGCCCTGATCCAATCAGGTGGGACCAATCAAGCGAGGAACCAATCAGGTGGGAGGGTGACACCCACCCGCCGATTTGAAAAGTACCCTTTAAGGTAAAATACTTGTTACCTGCTGAATATTCAAGATATTGGGTAGCTGAAGAGTATAAAAAAGACACGGGCTCTTGGAGGGGTGTGCTTTTCCAGGCGGGTGGCTTGGGACTGCACCCAGCGCTGCAAATAAAGGATTCTTTTCTGTAAGTTTCCTTGTCCTGCGAAAGTTTTTTTGCCGTTTCTATAAATTGATAGAAGAGAATTTTCTCACAATTTGAAGCCTCATCTTCCTCATCTTCCCTTTCTGTTGCAAAGCTCTGCATTCCTCTTTTTCTCAGAAGTGTGGGGCACCCTCTGTGGGAGCTGCTACTGAAGCAAGGGAGAGCAGACCACCAAGAGCTCTCCCCAGCGAGACTTGACTCAGTGAGAGAGCAGCCCCCAGTGCTGTCAGTCCAGACAGGCTAAGGAACAGACACCCAAATAAGTATGTGCTGTCCTCCCATTTCCTGTCTACATTCTGACCCTGCTCACTTTCCCACCGTCTAAGATTTATCTGGGGAGTGATTGGGTTACAGAATCCGAAACACATAGGCCATCAGAGGGTCAATAAGGGATTGAGGAGGAGGCATCTCATGCGGACACATCTGTGTTCTGCTGCCTGAGAGGATGTTTCAGAGGCCTGGCCAGCCTGTAACCACTGCAGATTTCACTATATGCTGGTGGATGAGGCATCCCAGGAAGCTCCCCCTCTACTCTAGATACTCTGTACATATTAGGAAGAAGTACAGCTGAGAGATACCTGTAGCTGCTCTGGGTTGAGGAGGTGAGGCAAAGAGCAATGAGGAAGCAGGACTTGAACAGGAGGGCTGGCACTAGCCTGAGGCTGGTCCACCACCCGCTGTTCTGCACAACCCTGGTTCCCCCTGCTCCTGGCATCAAATCACACCCTGCAAAACTGAGGGCTGGTACTGACAACTGAAGAAGCCAGTCCGTATGCACAAACCGTCTGGAAAGCAGACTCTGCTGATAAGCGGGGTCACAATGCACCCAGTGGCTTGCTCTAGCTGACCTGTGTTTGTGGGAACCATGTGGGAAGGGGCAGGATTTGGAAAAGTTTTGGAGATCTGCAGAAAAGCTGGGAGAAAGCTGATTAATAGCAAGCCTCAGCCAGCTCCAAGCCTAGACAGAGCGAGGGCATTCCTGAGGAGCTCTGCAGACCAAGCAGAGCTTGCTTAATGTCAAAGAAAAGCCATTCCTGGACAATTAATTTTAAATGAATGTCTAAAAGGACTGAGACCGCATGGAACCGTGCCAAAAGGACTGCACAGTGTTGTAAATACTGGATCTGACTCAGGGCTTCACTAGAATATGACTCACATCCAATTATGAGCCAAGAAAGCCCTGGAAAGATGAGCTGAATTATCGAGCTGCAGGATTGGGTGCACAGATACTCCTGTACCTGCCATATTAATGCTAGGCCTTACTTCCTGTATAAAGCTGATCTACACTCTCAAGAGAGCAAGTGCCAGGTGCATCTCAAGCTCTCCTGAGTTGAATGCTGTACACTCTGTGCTGGCCTCTGCCCAAGGGTATCAGTGTCACGCTCCATTCACAAGAGTCATGGTCTTGCCTTTGAGACACAGCAGCTGAAGGAGGGGCATGTCCAAACACAGAGGAGAGGAGCAGAAGTGGTAATAAGTGTCTCAGAGAGGAGTCCCTGAGGTAGCTTCATGTAGGCAGTCTTAATTTTCAGAGCTTTCTACAAAATCATCCTTTTTCCTACTGTCATTCCCAAGTCTCTTCTCCTCCTATTCATTTTCAGGGGCAAAATAAAGATGTGTTTATTTGTTCGTGCTGGTTTGGTTTTTTTTTAGTTGCCCCCTCCAAGACTGTACTGGAGTTAAAGCTAAGGAAGAAGAAATGTAAGTGGAAAGCTTTTTTGATACTAAGGCAGAGCTGCTTGGCCTGCCATAAGCCTCTCTCCCAGCACCTTTCTGAGTTGCCCCTAAGGAACGTGGCAGATAGTTGTGTCCTTTGAGGGGACCAAAGAGGCAGTGGAGGCCGGCCTCCTCTTCTCCTGCCTTGACATTTGTACCAGAGAGCTGGGATCATTGCTGGCCATGAGAGGGAAGCCTCTGTCCCAGGTCTCACTCTTGCTCAAAGGAATGGCTTTCTTCTGTGTATACTGAGCCTATGCCACTGCTTTTTCAGGCAGCGTGGTGTCCATCAGCTTATGGGACACCCACACAGTCCCACAAATTACAGGACTCTCTGCAAGGACGGCTCTAAAAATATCCAGCCATCATAAATTATGCTGAAATGAATTGTTTTAAAAATAAGTCTTGAAATTACTGTCCCTCTCTGTCTCCTGCTAAAAAATCTGCCAGTAAAGAAGCCACTTAGCCTTCCACATGTACCAGCACTCATGCTTCCTATGTTCAAGCCAAAACCCTGCTGCCTGATGCCAAAATGGAGCTGGATCTAGGGCATCCACACCCAAGTTTGCAGGATCCTAAAAAGACATTGTCTATTGCTTGTCAGAAGCTGGCAGCACACCGAACCACAGCCAATTATCATCCTCATAAATAACAGTAAGCCCGGCAAAGGAGCAATGTGACTGTCAAAGCACAAATGGAAGGAAAAAACATAGGCTGTATTTGACAACTGCAGGATCACATTCTTCCCCGGATTAGCCACGTGCAAGACCAAGGAATAGCCAGTTTGTCCTTACACATGGAAGACAGCCAGAGCCTCTGCTAACAGATGTGCCCAAAGTTGTGCCGTGTGCATATCTCATGCTCACCATTAGTATTATCTTCAGCCTTGACAGGCACAAGGGGGCTCTGGGGAGCAGAGTCTCCACTGAGGGAATAGCTGTGCTCTGCCTGGATGCCTGGAGTGGGTGGATCCAGGTCCATGTCCAGCAGTGGGTTCTTCTCAGCCAGTACTGGGTCATCGAAGAAACTGCTGAACAGGTCATTGGAGAAATCCTCCATGTTGTCAGAGAACTGATCCAGGTTCTCTGAGAAATGCTGAGAAAAGACAAAGGGAGAGAGAGCGTTAGTGTCAACTCCAAGGGGGATCTGAGAGCCTTCCTTTGCACTGAGAGCCAAACCTTAGTGACAACACTTTTTGGATGGGAAAAAGCAGTTCCTATTCCTTGCCTGCATCAGGTTGACAAAAACACCTTTAATTAAGACAGAAAGGGACATGGTGCTGTATATCACTGCTTGTTTATCTATGCCACAAACACTCGTGAAACTTCTATATTCTCTCATCTCCCCCTCTCTCTGTGAGTACCTATCTGCATCTTCCTAGCACCATCTTGCTGTGACAACAAACTGAATAGAGCACAAGGCAAGAAATTCCTGTGATGACAAAGTGCAAGTGTGGTAGAAAATCATGGTCTTCAGTGCCTGTCCTTGGTGACAGACACTTTCTCATGTTCTCTGCCAGCGGCAATAGGCACACTTATGGCCCAGAGAACACCAACCCAGCTGCTGATTTCTATCAGAGAAAAAAAGATCGGTTGGATCAACATAACAGGAAGGCCCCCTGTTGTATTTAATTTCCTCTGGGATTTAACAGCCCCTCTGTGGACCATATGAGGTTGTACTCCAGCCAGATAATGCCTGTGAAATTCGGCTCCCCGATGAAGTTTAAACACTACAGATGGGCTGTTAACAACAAACAATCATTCCACTAATCATTCCAGTAACAGTTAGTAAATCTGGCCAGTTCTGCTGCAGAGCTGGGCTCCTGATACTACAGTGAACCTGCTTCCTTTGAGGCACATCCTCCTTTTCAGAAGTCAAATCACTAACTTTTCCATTTGCTACAACAAAGTATGGGTTGGGTAGGGAGAAAAATGATGGCTGCCAAACACCAGCTGAAAAATTATCCCATTTGTTGGCAGACTAAGGCTTCTGGCTCAGGGAGAGGAAAGAAAAGACAGATAGATTCAAGTGACTGTATTACACAGACAGAACTGTGTAACTTAAATGAACTGGAGAGAGCTCAGCAGAGTCGGACTGGGTCTGTCCCCCCACCCCCTGCCTGGAAAAGCATCTGGGTGGGCAGAAAAGCATTGAAAGCAGTATATTGAAATACCAAGAGCAACAGGGTATGGATGAGAGTGGGAGAGAGCACACAGATCCTAGAGTGGAGACATGAATGCCAGTGAATTCCAGCGTGAGAGCTGAGCTCAGGAAGGAGCCTGGCTCCTAGAGAAGCATGGGGTGCATGCAGTCCTTTCTTTCATCAGTGCTAGGACTGAGGGAGGCGGTGGCCAGAGGACCCCGGATGCCGGAGCCTGTAGGTTCCTGCTCCTACAGGAACGTGTATTTGTTTTACCAGAGCACAGTAGCTCTGTCAACATTCCACTGGCTGTCAGAGGGCTGGGGAGTGAAGTAGGCTTTAACTGAACAGACCCATGCTTCCAACAAGTGGGGGAGGGAGATGGTGAGCTGCAGCAATCTTGAACACGTCAGTGCCTTTTACCCTCCAACATCATCCCTCACCTGCTCGATTTAAAACCTCAGATGCTCACAGAGCATGCTGGAAATGGGGGTGGAGTCCCTCCCACGAGCATTCTGCCTGACACGAGGTTTCTCTCCATTTGCTTCCTTCCCACTTGTCCTCTGACTGCCTGGAGTGACAGCCCAACACACCACCATCCGAGGCTTCCCTGGAGGGCAGACACTGCATGTGAAAGTAAGGCAGAAAAGGCATGCTCATGCTAAATCCCAGTGTTGAGGCCCTCCCTGGATGTCTGGGCTGAAGTTTTCTCCACTTGTTTCCATAGCAGATGCGAGTTGGTGGGGTAGCTTGGTAAAATCTACCCATCCATTTCCAAGTTGCCTAGAAGCATTTCTGCTTAAATCAAGTGACGGAAAACACCTTCCATCCGTGCAGAGCATAACTTCTTCAGAGGGACCTGAGTCAGCAGATGAAACTGGGTTAGACAGTTATCTAAAAACCACTAGAAAAACAGGTTTTGTCCTATCCTACAGCATAGAGGGATAAAGACTTTGGAGTCCTGAGTATTAACCTCAGAGAGCGCCTGTTCATGTAACAGCTGTTCTTTGTCTTGTGTTCTCTAAACAACACAAGCAAATACAGGATATGAACACGGTAGCCTTACGGTAAGGGCGAGAATATAACCACAGAGAAGTGAAGGGATTCAGAGTGCTGGCACACCACAGCATAGCAGAGCCAGGATAAAACAAGAGGCATTCAAATCCTGTATACTGTTGTGACCATCAAAACTAGAACCAGTGTAGCCCTGGAGGAGAAGCAGAGCTGGATGGACAGCTGTGGGGAGAGCTATCTGCAACTCTGCCACGTGCTTCAAATTTCTTTCACGACTGTGCATTAACAAAGGCAAAGGTGGGAGTAAAGAGAGACGAGAATGCATTTATGCAGTAGCTCCACAGATTATCTTTTAGTGGCATCCCACCCACACTCAGAACAAAGATCTTTCTCGGTCAGTCAACAATCTTTCCATTGTAGGACAAACCTACCTGGAGGGAAGAGGCAGAGATGTGCCTCTGGCTATATTCCTAAACAAAAAACCGGGCTTGTTGGAGGACCTCACTGCTTGGAAGCAAGGATGAAGGCAACACTGTTCTCCAAGAGACATGGGAGTTAGGTCCCCAAGAGACCATTCTCTCCCAAGAGACAGAGACCTACTGCACAGGACAGGGCAAACAGGTGATAAGCAAAGAATGAAACTTGCAGCTTCCCTGGGCATCCAGAAATGTTGGGGCACCTAACCCTCTCTGGGCTCCTGGGTCATATCCTCCATCACAATTAAATACTGGCAAAGCTTTCTCACCAAAGCAGTCCCATTTCAGTTCTCATCAGTCATACATCTCTAAACACAGACGGTGGAGAGAAGGATGATAGCCTATGAGACTGGGAATAACTATGGTTATTATCAAAGGGGGCACCAAGGATCCGACACCTTCAAGGAGCAAGAGCACCTATAGCTGACACAGAGCTGAAGATTGCTATTTTACTCAAAGAAGGTGGCAAGAAGCAGAGGAAAGCATAAGCAGGAAGGGTAAAGCAAACAAATATAATGACATGGCTTTGTAGCTGGCTATATCCACAATGGAAACTACAGGACCAGCAGGAAGCTGTCACCACATCCCAGGAAGACTGCTGGGTCTCTGGGTTGGCTCCATTCTCTCCTGAATCCAACAGGTATTGTTAATTTTAGATTTCTTATTAATATAAGACACCTGTGCATGCAACCACATGGTAAGAGGAAAGAGTCCTCTTGTCCAGATTCAACTGTGATGGGCACAGTGAAGAGCAGCCCAGAGTTTATTTTGGATAGATGCCATCAAAGCCACTGCTAATTAGCTCAGTTTGAGCCTGCTAACCCAGAACAAGCAAACTCTGTCCCACCGAGCCTCATTTTGGGAGCTGCACTTATCTGGCAAAACTCAGAGGCTTCAGCCATACTCTTCCTTTGCATGTGTGAGAAAGAAGGCTTCAGGAAACTGCATGTCCCAGGGTGTGGTGTCTCACAGTTGTGCAGATCATGGCAGAGCATGAGCTTCTGAGCGATATACAGAAGTAGGTTTATCACCTGACCAAATGGATAGCAGCTTTATCCTGGCTGGAAGGTCACATGCCAAAGAAGGTGCTGGGTGGCCACCAGTGCTCCCTTCCCATCCAGAGTGGGGCCAGCACAGCTAAAGGCCTTCATGTGCTGCCACAAAATGACACAACCATGCTAGGCTTTGGGGAGACTTTTGCTGACACAATGGCAACAATGATCTCAGCAGACCAGGGAAGGTCCAAGAAAGAGTCCCCAAAACTCAGATGTGAAGGAAGGTGGGATAGACAGACATACAGGAGCAGAGCAGGCTCATCCTCTCACAGCCTCTTTGAGAGTGCCTTCCAGCCAGCACCCACTCCTCAGAAGGCTGGTCAAGACATTTGTGACAATGAAGGACTCTGCAACTCTATTGAGATCATCTCGGGCAGATTTTGCGCAGATGGGTCTGGCTTTAGTAAAGAGGACCAGTCAACTGGGAAACTTGACCCTTACCATCCTAGCCCAGAGGGAGTGGGTGTGCAGTGTACTGGGGGAAAACAGCTTCCAGATGGGATACGAAGCTCACAGCATAGTCTCATTTTGCATTATTCTCTCCTGTTATCTCCCCCTCCCTTTCACACCCTCCTTCCTTCTCCTTCTAACTATGCTCCAAAGCCAAGAAATAGCACGGGATATGTTTCCAAAGCTGTATTACCAGTGAGCGGTCAGGGAGGGGGCAGCCAAGGGACAGAAATGCAATGGCGAGGATGTGCTGGATTTCCTGATCCAAGCCTGATTTCTAGCTGCCCGTCCCCCCCCCACAGTTCTAGGAGGACGGGGAGGCAGTGCCCAAAGAGGATTAGCCAGTGTGCACAGGTATGGAGAGGCAATGACCATCACATCTCTAGGCCCAACAGAGAGCCTTAAGCTGTTCTGGTGCCACAGGAGAATCTGCTCAAGCTGAGGCCATCTCAGCTATGGGGAGAGAGTGAGAATCTGTCAGCTGCTGGCTTCTGCTCCCTCCCACTCCGGGTGATCAACATAGGCACTGACTCTTCCAAACATATTTCCACCACATGTTTTCATCCTGACCTCATGCTTAGGGTTGTCTAAATAGCACACTGTATGTGCGTGCGTGCACTTCTCATTTGAACACCCTTTCCTGTTGTACAACAGTTATCTGGGGAGCTAATGTAAGGCATTCAGACATCCAAATGCAAGCTGTACGTTTCTCCCCACCCAGAGCTGGTGTTAGACTTCTGGAGGCCCCAAGCAGAGACTGAGGAACTAACCCTTCTCCCCTGCCTGGGCGTGCATGGAATGCCTTAAGGTGTCACTCCTGTAGCCCAGGGGCACTCTGCATGGATGAGGAGGGGATGATTTCCTCTCCCTGGATCCAGTTCTCTGTAGTCATCCTGGCTGCCTCTGTCCCTGCTTTTCCTTTTCATGCTTCCATCCTTTGACTGTGACTTTTCCTTTCCTACCTCCAGCTGAGTTGTTTGGAGACAGCCTCTCTTCAGGATCAGCCTGGTTCTCACAGCCTTTCTGGTCCCATCACAATGGTCTCACTCCAAAGAGAAAGCAGCGAGGGGCTAATCCAGCTGGGCGGCAGCCCAGGCCCAGGAGACGAAGGGCCTTTGCAGGTTGGAGGTTCTGCTCGTGCTGGCAGGCAGTGAAGATGGGGAGTGGATTCTTCTGAGTTTTCTCTTTTCTTTTTGAAAGTATTTTTCCTCTTTGCTTGCCAAGATAAATCTCCTGTCCCAGCTGTGACATCTGCATTTCCCTTCTCTGCTTTCACTAAGGAATGAAGCCCCCTGCACTCCAGCTGCAGAGCTGAGGTTTTCTTTACATTCCAGGAAAGAAGAGCCCATACACTCCAGACAGTCCTTCTGCTCTCTTTAAAATGCAGAAAATTTTAGACTTTATGAAAGTGAAGTTCTCAACAATGTTAACAAGATTCAGGCAGGATGGACAGATGCTGTGAACACTTCTCCACACACTCCAGTTGGTGCATGTGCACCCCGAGGGGCTCAAGTGATCATCCAACCACCTCTTGGCTCTCTCAGACCCCTCTGGTACCCCTCTATTCTGACCTGTATTGCTCTTGCTCTCTCCCCTCATGTACCAGTGCTCCCTGCTCCTCCATGCCTCGTCTGCCCAGATCCCTGATCTGCTTGAACAACTTGTCATTGCCCTGCTACCCCCTTGCTATTCCTGCTTCTCTGTGTGCCATGGCTGAAGCACCAAAGGCCAAACTGTCTGCGGGCACCATTGCCATTTCCCTCCAGCAGCAGGACAGCACTTGGACCAGCAGCACCTCTCAGTCTTTCCCAGAGACTGTGGCAATGCCCAAGTCACCTGTGATTACTTTCAGCATCACAACCTTGAACTGCATGGTGGACTAAACTGAACCTGATCTAGAACCAGGCCCAGAATTTGCTGCTGTCTGTAGAATCACAGAGTCACAGAATCGGTTAGGTTGGAAACGACCTCCGAGATCATTGAGTCCAACCTATGACCAAACACCATCATGTGTGCACATGTAATCACCACCTCCCTGGGCAGTCCATTCCAATGTCTAATCACTGAAGAAAGTCTTTCTAATGTCTAACCTAAACCTGCAGCTTAAGACTATGTCCTCTCGTTCTCTCACTAGTTGCTTGGGAGAAGAGGCCAACCCCCACCCAGCTACAACCCCCTTTCAGGCAGTTGTAGAGAGCGATAAGCTCTCCCCGGAGTCTCCTCTCGTCTCTGCAAGGCTCAGGCACAACTCGGTGTGGAAACCTCCTTCCACCGCGCATCCGTTCCAAGGTCCTGGATTTACAATTTCCAGCGCTAGGCGCCACAAGACATAGGAGGGACCGACGGCGGCTCAAGGCACAATCAGGGGAGGGTGACTGTGGGCGCGGCGCGCAGGGCCCGAGTGCCGGCAGCCCTTCACGGGCCGGGCGGTCCGGCCCGGCCCGGGCCCCCCGCGCGCGGGGAACGGCCGCGCGGGTCGGTCGCCGCGGCGGCGCTCCAACGGCCCGCAGGCGGGCGGCCGCCCATTGGGCCGGCCGCCGCGAGCGCGCCAATGGGAGGCGGCTGCCAGCGGCGCGCGGCGGGCGCGAGGAGTGCAGGGTTAGGACGGAGCGGCGCGGGCCGCTCCTTCTCCTGCCGGGATCCTTTGGGAGCGCCCCAGGGAACACCGGCCCGGCCCTTCTGCAGGCACCCTCCGGCACATACGGCTCCCACGGCTTGCTGTAACCTTCCTGGCAAGCAGGAAGGTTTCCTGATTTTTCCCCCTCCTCCCCTACAACCCTGGCAAGGGGGACAAAGCCATCAGCTGGCGGAGCGGGTGATGTTGATAAAAGCATGTGCACAACACAGACCCCTTCGAAATTCCGAGACTGCAGCTGTGTAATAGCTCAGAGTTTACAAGCCTGCAGTTCATTGGGAAGGAACCTTGGGAGGCACCAGCTCAGGAAGAGAGGGCGAGTTAAGTATTTTACTTCAATGTTTTTGCTCCTGAAAGAATAAAAAGAAGGGAGAAAAAGGGGAAGTTGAAATCTGCTAGCCTGTGACTGGGTTTCCCAGCAGCACCAGTGGATGCACTTTGAGTGCTGCTGCAGTCCCCACATCTGGCTCTAGTGTGTTCAGCATAAATAGGATTAGCAGCCGGCATTGGCAGTGGTGATGTGGGAGAGATTGGGAGTGCCCTGCAAGAGGAATGACTGAAGCAAGGCAGAACGCAGGCCGACGTGAATCAAAAGGCAAGTGGCACTGCAGTGTGGCCATGGTGTCGTGGCCATCTGTGTGCCCTCCAATCACCTGCGGGTGCCACAGTGCAGGGCAGGTATGCACGTGCTAGGGCGGAGGGGGAAATGGCAGCCACCCTTTGGCAAAATCGGCTCCACTAGCCTGGAGTGGGAAGCAGCTACAGTACATAGTTTGCCTATTGCATGAGACTTGCTGAATCTGCAGAGACAGGAGCACCCCTCCTCCCGGAGCAGCAGCACCCTGGAGGATAATGAGGAATGCCTCCACTTTTCAGAGTGCTTTTACTGTCTGTATGCTACATGTGCAATGAACATCCCAAATTTCCTTTGGCTTACAACTGCCTTGCAGCTGACTGATTAAAAAAAATTAGAGCAGGATTTAAACCATGCGCAGAAGCGGACACAACCTTCTTGGGATGAAACATTTAGATCAGCTGCTCTTAGCCCTCATTTGGCAGAAGATTTGGGGTGTATTTCTAGGAGTCTGTGAAAGGTAAATAAAAAGTTTGTCCTTCAAGGCTTTTCTTGAACTTGGAGAACTGAAGACACCTGCTTGCTACAGAACAAAGTCGCCTTTATTTCTGAGCCATCATGGTGGCAGCTGGGCTGTGTTCAAACAGAGATGCGTAGGAGCTGTTCTCCATGGGAATGCAGGTACCCCTGGGCAAGCTGGCAGGGGTCTCTTCCTCTTCTTTGCTCCTTCCCAAGCCAAGGTCAGTACAGTTTCCAGGCAGAGACTTCACACAAGCAGTAGCTCCTGGAGAGAGAAGCTGTATTGTCATCTCTGCTCTCTTGGCCAAATTGGTGCTTTGTGTTAACATGGCAGCCTCAGCTGCATTTGCAGCAGGCTCTCAGTGACACTCTAACTCCACACCATGATGGGGGGCTTTCAGCTGCTGGAGTGTCTCGGGGAGGAAGTTCATGTGAACTTTATGTCCATATGTGTGAAAATAGAATCCATCAGTTTTGTGAAGGCCCTATCTGCTATGTTATCCCAATCCACCTTCATCCAGGTGTGCCCTTTGCAGAGCCCAAACACATCCATCCCTTCTCAGTCACCACAGAGGCACAGCAGCAAGAACACAACTGGGTGTCCATAGCCATGCTTGTAGGCGTGCAGCATCCCTGCACAACCTAGGGATGCATCTCTGGCTCAGCCTTGCAAATCTAGAGGCAAATCTACCCTGGAAAAGCCTACGTGGATTTAATTGTGTGTGGCATGTCTGCCTGAGCAGTTTGTGGAACAATTCTGCTTAATGGTGAGGGATGTGTGATGCAATGAAAGGCAGAAGACAGGGCAAATGAAAGAAAATACTGGTTTACTCTGCATGACTCTCTGTGAACAATCCTGCCATGCTGATGTGAAGCTGGGTCACAGTATCACCAAAAGACATGAAATGCAGAATGAATGTTCAATACAATTGAAAACAAATTAGAGAGGTGCAACTGCTCAAGCTGAGCACCAGTCAGTGGGATGGGAGCGTTTATATTCAATAACAAAAATAAGTTAGAATAAATGCCACTCCACTATTGCCTCCATCTTTCTTGGAAGCTTCTGGCCCTGCCCAGTATGGAGTTGCCAGAGTTGGCAGATCTCTGCTCTTAGACAGCCTGTCAGCCTCATACCATTATGAGCCTTTTTTCTGCATCTTGCACGAAATCAAGAAAGGCACACTGGGAGATAGAGGAAATCTTCTTTGGGAGATAACCACAAAAGGAGGAAAGGTCTGTATTATCTTTACAATCATTTTCATTTGTTTAATTGAAACTGTTTCTCTTCAGTGCTCAGAGAGCAAAATCAGAGATAATTCACATTTTGTCCCCTGGCAGGTCCCTGTAGACCCATAAAGAAAAGCAGGACTTGGAAGAGGAAGATAGTTGTACTCTGTTCAAGTCCAAAAGCTGAGGCATGCAGCTAATACCAAACATTACTGGTGGCTTTCATTCCTTGGGCCTTTGTAAAGGG